TTATTTTATTTTATTTTATTTTATTTTATTTTATTTTATTTTATTTTATTTTATTTTATTTTATTTTATTTTATTTTATTTTATTTTATTTTATTTTATTTTATTTTATTTTATTTTATTTTATTTTATTTTATTTTATTTTATTTTATTTTATTTTATTTTATTTTATTTTATTTTATTTTATTTTATTTTATTTTATTTTATTTTATTTTATTTTATTTTATTTTATTTTCTCTTTCTTTTTCTTTCTTTTTCTTTCTTTTTCCTTCTTTTTCTTTTTTTTTCTTTCTTTTTCTTTCTTCTTCTTTCTTTTATTCTCTTTTGTCCTTGCTTGCTTTCTTGGTTTCTTTTCCTATTTTCTTCCTTTCTTGTCTTTCTTTCCTTTCTTCAGCCTGGATGTAGGGAGGGATGCTGCCTATTTTTTGGCCAAGTGTTTTCCCCTCAACACAGGCAATAGGTGCAGACACGACTGCATCCAGGCAAGTTTTTAATATCTCCAGAGAACGGGATTCCACAGCCTCCCTAGGCAGCCTGTTCCAGTGCTTTGTCACCCTCCTAGTCAGGAAGTTTTTTCTCATCTGTCAATGGAACATCCTGCATTCCAGCTTGTGTCCATTGCTCCTCAGCCTGTCATTGGCAACTACTGAAAAGAGCCTGGCTCCAGGCTTGACGTTGCCATTTCTGCTTGCTTTTTCCCAAAGGTCGTTGCTGAAAAGGGGCCTCTCCTCCAGCATCCACAGGCAGGTTGGTGCTGAAGCAGCAGACAAGCGTTCAACCCTGGCTTTGTTTCTCTTTTGTGCCTAGAACTCCATCCGGCACAACCTGTCCTTAAACAAGTGCTTCATCAGGGTGCCCCGAGAGAAAGATGAGCCCGGGAAAGGAGGATTTTGGAAGATGGATCCCCTGTGCACTGACCAGCTCAAGAAGGGTTCCTTCAGAAAGAGGAGGAGGTCCCCAGGGCAGATCCATCCGGCATTCACAAAAACAGCCCATCAAGAGTCACAGTGTGATGCCAGCCCAGCCACTTCAGTTTGCACCCCCACTAACATCTTCAGGGTCAGCAGAGAGTCCCAGCAGCTACTGGAGGAGTTGGAAGAAGCCACCAGCAGGCAGACCTGGGATCCAGCTGAGAGCCAAGCAGGGCAGAAGCACCAGCAGCCCTCGCCCATCCCACCGGCCAAGGTGGCTCGACTTTCCAACTCTGCCTTGCTGACCCAGGAAGAACAAGAGGAGCTGGGATCCTTGAAAGGTGACTTGGACTGGGAAGGCATCTTCGACTCCAACCTGAATGCAGACTTGCCCACTTTTGGGGATCTGGACCTTCTGTCTCCAACCAACCCCACCATGCATGACTTGGACTTGACGGTCCCTGGGCAGCACACCGAGGGTCCCCAGGGGCAGGAGCAGGGCCACACTGAATCCCACCAGAAAAGTCTGGAGTGGGATGAAACCTTCATGGCTGCTGCTTTCCTGCAGAATCCCTGGGACGAAGGGACAAACGACTGCCTCAACAACACTGTCAACATGAAGGAGGTGTTTGAATGGAATGAAACTCCTTCGCCAGAAGCAGGAAAAAAAGGTCTATAAATTTGGCAAGTCTGCCTCTCAGGATGCTTTTATATAATCTATTCCATATTATCTATTCAAAGAAGCCTATATTTTTAGCTTTAGAATTTATTTGTAGTAGGAGGCTAGAGGAAATGCAGTTTTAGAGTTGTTTGGTATTTTCATTAATTGTTTCACTCACTGTTTACTTACTTAATTGTTTCATATTTACACTGTTTAATTGTTTCACTGTTTTGCTGCTTAATTGTTGAACTGGTTTACATTTACACTGTTTAATTATATCACTGTTGGTTATATGTTTCATATTTATACTGTTTTATTGTTTCACTGATTAATTGTTTAAATGTTTCATATTTACACTGTTTTATTGTTTCACTGTTTCACTGATTAATTGTTTAAATGTTTCATATTTTCACTGTTGAATTGTTTCGCTTTTGCACTGTTTAATTGTTGAAATGTTTTCTATTTACCCTAAATTCCTTCACTGCTTAGCTATTTAATTATTTTCTCACACTGTTTCACTGTTTAAATGTTTAAATGTTTTATATTTACATTCATTGTTTCAATGTTTTGCTGTTTAATTGTTTAAATGCTTTATATTTACACTAATTGACTGTTTTGCTGTTTAACTGTTTAAATATACATTTTTAATGCTTATTTGTTTCACCATTTTGCTCTTTAAATCTTTACATGTTTTTATTTACACTGCTTAATTGTTTGACTGTTTTGCTGTTTAATTGTTTAAATTACTTATATTCACACTGTTAATTAAATAATTGTTTAATTGGTTAAATGTTTTATATTTGCACTCTTTGCTATGTCTGTTTTTCTGTAAACCAAGACTATGGGACAGAGGATTCCTGAAGCAGCAGCAGTAGGGTTTGTTAAGGATCCAGCACTTGGCCTTGCAGGAGAGAAGCAGAGGAAACAGGTGCTCTCAGAACTGACCTGGCATTTGTATTTTTTGTACCCAAAATCCTTGGTTTCGGTTAGTGTGGTGGGCTTGGGTGGAGTGGGTGGCCCACGGGGGTGGCTCCTGTGAGAAGCTGCTGGAAGCCCCCCTGGCTCCAACTCCAGCCTGGCCTCTGGCCAAGGCCCAGCCAAGTGGGGAAGCTGGATGTGCCTCTGGGAGTGACATGTTCAAGACAGGGAAAAGGAACCTGCAAGAAGACCCACAGGGCAGGGCAGGTGTGAGAAGCACCGCGATCGCCGACAGCAAAGGCTCAGACAGACTCCTCGGGGAAGCACATTTTACTGATGTTCTTACAGGAGTGGGTGACCCATAAAGCAGGCATACCAGGGGGGCACTCAGCCCAGTTTTTTATTCCCGAATCCTGACCCAGCTCTCCCTCCCTGGTTTCCCCACTGGCTAGGTACTCCAAGGTTAACAGCCCACCCAGGACGCCTAAGATGAGCACCTGATGTCCTGCCCCTCTTTACCTGGTGCCACACCCTGCCTTTAAGGCTGGCTCCATCTTGTTCATTTCTCCCCTTTTATTGGGGGGTTTTACAACTTTCTTCCCTTGGATTGGGACTTGGCCAACTTGCTAACCACTCTTCTGCTATGAACTGGGTTTCTGCTCTTCAAGTGCTGAAACATTGCCACATGAGCTCTTGGGTACATCCCACCTCTAAGAATTAATTTCCTTTACCTTCTGTCCTCTGCCAGGCAGCTTTCCCTAGCTTCTTCTCTGGGAGGCTCTTTAGGGAATACATGTGTTTCTACATATACAATAAGATTCTGGAAATATATAACCCATTGGATGATTCTGTTGCCTAGGATACAAGCATTTCTTTGGCATATGACTTGTAGTATAACATTCAAAACCATAAATACACTTGTGCAGAAAAGCAAACATCTTTAGCTGTATAAAAACATTAATTTTCAAGCTTCCTTTTTCTAGCACTAAGCTTGACTGTAAAACAGCCCCTCAATGAAAACCTGCTGCATCAGTTGCTTTTCTGCCATTTTATCTTATCACCTCATCAAGACAGAAATCCTCTTAAAATTAAAAATAGCCTCCATGTTCAAAACTAGGCACCATAGTATTTCCAACGAGATGAAAAAGAAAAATAATTTTCCAGCTGACATATTAAAGCAGGCAAAAAACATGCACAGACAGATGGTAGTGCACTTTGCTTTCATGAGAAGAGCCATTCTGGACTTCTGCCTGTAGCTGTTCCTCCCAAACCCTCCCAGTAAAGAAGTTTTTCCTTAAGTTTAGGTTTAACCTCCTGTACTTCAGCTTGTGCCCATTGCCCCTTGGCTTGTCACTGGACATTGTGGAAAAGAGACTGGTCCCATCCTCCTGACTCCCCCTCTGGGTATTTATAAGCATTTATGAGACCACCCTCAGTCTCCCTCTCCAGGCTGAAGAGACCCAGCTCTCTCAACCTTTCCTCATACGGCAGATGCCCAATTCCTCTGATCATATTTGTGGCCCTATGCTGGGCTCTATCCAGTAGTTTCTTATCCTTTATGAACTGGGGAGCCTGCACCCAGAGAGTTGAGGTCAATGGTTCAGTGTCCAAGTGGAGGCAAGTGATAAGTGGTAAATATTTGGATTTTGTTGGAGACACGGATGGTAGGATTGAGCGTGTCCTCAGCAAGTTTGTTGATGATACCAAGCTGTGTGGAGTAGTTGCCAGCCTAAATGGAAGGGATGCCATCCAGAGGGACCTTGACAAGCTGGACATGTTAGGCCAATGCCAATCTCATGAAGTTCAACAAGGTCAAGTGCAAGGTCCTGCACCTGGGTCAGCGCAACCCCAGGCACAAATACAGGCTGTGGGGAGAATGGCTGGAGAGCAGTCCCAAGGAAAAGGACTTGGGGCTGGTAGTAGATGAGAAGCTCGACATGACCCCAGTGTGTGCTGGAGCCCAGAGAGCCAGTTGTGTCCTGGGCTGCATCAAAAGAAGAGTGGCCAGCAGGGCCAAGGAGGGGATTCTGCCCCTCTGCTCTGGTGAGGCCATACCTGGCATATTCTGTACAGCTCTAGGCCCTTAGCACAGGAAAGACATGGAGTTACATGTTCTCCACTATATGGAAAGATATTAGAGAAGGTCCAGAGAAGAGCCACGAAGATGATCAAAGGGTTGGAGAAGCTCAGTTATGAAGATAGGTTGAGAAAGTTTGGGCTATTCAGCCTGGAAAAAAGAAGGCTCCAGGGAGACCTTAGAGGATCTTCCAGTGCCTGAAGAGGCTACAGGAAAGCTGTGGAGGGACTTTGGACAAGGGCAGGGAGTAAGAGGACAAGGGGCAATGGATTAAAACTGAAAGAGGGGAGATTTAGGTTAGACATCCAAAATAAATTCTTCGCCTTGAGGCACTGGAATAGGTTGCCCAGGGAGGTTGTGGGAGTCCCCTCCTTGGAGATGTTCAAGGCCGGGTCAGATGAAGCTTGTGCAGCCTGGTCTAGGGTGAGGTGTCCCTGCTCATGGCAGGGAGGTTGAAACCTGATGATCTTTAAGGTCCCTTCCAATCTTCTATTTGATTCTATGATTCTGTGTGGCCTCACCTGGGCACAATCTATTCCTTCTGTTAATATAAAGTATTTCATTGTAACTGCTGAAAATGGCAGGTCAGCAGATGATTGAGGTCTTGCTTGGGTCTGTGATTAGCTGCTCAAGAAGTTAATGACAAAAGGTTAACTTTCTTCAGTTAATAAAACTACATCTCAGCTTTCCTTTCCCCTTCTGCAGTTACACAAAATCTATATTTGAATGTGTTCTCTTAGGATAAATGGAGCATGTTAGTGATGCAGCTTATGATTTCAGTTTAAAAGGAATATATATAATTAAAGCATAAAGTTTGTTTGCACAACAGAAACTGAAAATCCTAACATCTGGAAAATGTAAAAACTCTCAATCATTGGCCTACGAAGTCTCAGCAGTTGCTAAAATTTATATAGATATTCAATACTGTGTCACATTTCTAAAGCTTCAGAGCAGTAATCTGTGAAAAATGCTCTTGTTCTACCTTGGCAGGAAGCAGTTTGTTTCAGTCAGTAAATGCACTGACCATATCTAAATTCTTTTCAAAAGGGTATGTCAACATAGCTCATTACATGCAGTGGTAAGTTGAATTTGAAACTGTCTGGCACATACATTTCTTAAAGCCTCAGTTTTGTGAAAGTAGATCAAAACTGCTTTTCAAACTGAACTATGGTCTAGGATTACATCACTTTTCCAGTAAGCAAATAATTCATAATCTACATCATCTAAATAAATGCCTTTCAGACTACCATGGTGTTTCATTTTTTTCTCAAGATTTCTATTCTCGGGGAAAAACAATACGGAGACAAAAATATTTTCACTGACTCCCACAAGTGTCTCATTAGACTCAAGAGGCAATGAAAGCACATAACACCTGGAAGTCTGACAGCAAAAGGAAACTTGGAATTATTGTTATCTATTTCCCCTCTACAACTGCACTTCGTTCCTTCAGCCCCTCATTAAGCCATATGTCAACTTGGGAAGATCCTCTGTTTCTCTGAACTCCCTCTGCATTAATTCTCCAGCTCATTTCTTCAGCACCATGTTTTTCTGTCACGTTTAACCTTCTTAGAGAAGGATTTCCCTTTTTTGCCCCAAGTAATAAGTTCACACACCCCCTCCTTTTTTTTTTTTTTCCAATTTATCACTAAAATGGTATTCTGTGCTTTAACGAGGCTAATCTTACGATGAGCTCTGCCTTGCTTATCTAAACCTGAAGCTGTTATACTCTCCTGTATGTTAAATTCTTTAAACAAAGCTCCATAAAGCATGAGTTTTCTATCTTTGAGAAATAAAAAACCTGATACATTTGCAACACCCACACAATTACTTTTTTATCTAGAAAACAGCCAGATGCTAAATAAAACCACTTCCAAACCCACACGCGTGATACATCAAAATCTCCCAGTCTAACCAAACAGTTTGCATTCAGGGTCCGCATCTCTGTAACACCACAGCTGCATCTGGACCATTACATTTAATAGCCCTCAGTGACCTACTCCTCCCTGAGCCCTGTAATAACTTT